TTTTTTTTTGGTCATTCAGGGGCCATCAGTTTGCAGTTCAGTCATTTTGAAGTGCCAAGTAGTGTGGCAAAAAGAAAAAGAATACTTGGTTGGTGTTTTTCCTTCTTTAGAACTATTTACCCATTCAGTTCAGTTCTGATTCTTTGTCACTGTCTGAAGAAGTACTTGCTGAGTGAGGTCGCAGTTTCTTCCTAAACCCTGTTTTACCTGGGCAGTATTAGCTGTTTACATGCCTAATGTTGCTTTTTTTTTTTTTTCCTTTCTTTCTGATCAGGTGTTACTTGTCTACATGCTCCTGGGCCCTTTGAGGTAGAATGCTTTAAAATTTTGCTTGCTGGGAAACAAAATTTGTTAGACCGGTCTTTGTTATGACTAAATAAAGTAGGCAAGAGGGACAAGAAATTTTTGAGCACATGTGCTACGGGCAAGTGCTTTGCGTACGTTAATCATGTTTCCCTCTCCTGATCACCCTTTAAGTCCGAAGATAGCAAAACCTGTTTTCTTGCCTGACCGTGAACAGAGAGCAATCACTTGCCCCAGGGCCCAGGCAAGAGGGACAGAACCAGAGTCTGAACTGCAGACTGTCCATCTCCATTCCCGTTGATCTTGGCGGGTACAGCAGCCGCATGCCTGCCCTTGCAATGGACGTGGCAGAAGCCTCAGTGGGAGGATTTCTGGAGAGAGCTCCGTAAATCTGCCTCTCCGTCCAAACATGAGGCAGGTAGGCAGCTAATCCTGAGTTTGGCGGGCACCTCTCACGAGCAGAAGCGTCTGTGATGACCTGTGTCGCACACACGTGATGTGAGTGGGTAGCCTGTCTTCACATGAACATCTGGCCTGTAAACGTGCATTTGCTGCAGGGCTGTTTCGGGAGTTAACTGGGCTCAGAGAGGAACAAAAACGGGTAGTCCGGTAAGTAGCTTATACGTACACCTGAGCTGTAGTGAGGACTCTGTGTGTAGTTCAAGCATCCTCTCGTGCCAGCCACTTTAGCACTAAGGCTGGGTGATGGTCTTGCCCCAGAGGTGAATTGTGTTTTCAGCTACACAACCCAGTAACTGTAATTAAAGTCATGCAATGAGATTCAGCAAATATTCTGGAAACAGCAGTCGTAAGGCAGTGAAGAAAGAGGGAGATATATATTAGCCCCTTTGACTATTTATGAGATTGGCATGGTTTCTTCTATTTTCCTCATTTTATTTATTTTTTTTTTTTTAATTTTTTTTTTTCAACGTTTATTTATTTTTGGGACAGAGAGAGACAGAGTATGAACGGGGGAGGGGCAGAGAGAGAGGGAGACACAGAATCGGAAACAGGCTCCAGGCTCCGAGCCATCAGCCCAGAGCCTGACGCGGGGCTCGAACTCACGGACTGCGAGATCGTGACCTGGCTGAAGTCGGACGCTCAACCGACTGCGCCACCCAGGCGCCCCTATTTTCCTCATTTTAAAAGGGAGAAATCAACAGTTACGATGTATGATGACTTAACCTCAGCACCGTATGTCATATTATTTCGTGTAATCCTTGTGACCAGCAGTGAAATAGGTACTGTTTACTGTGTAACAGAGGATTCAGATTACCCCAGGTCACACACCTACAAAGGGATGGCACTGGGATTTAAGTCCCTGTACGGTGATTCCAGAATCTGTAGCTTTAAGTAACGTTACTATTTCTTTCTCTTCTAATTCTGTTGAGCGTTTGGTGTTTCTAGTATTTGGAAGTCAGATGCTGCCATTTTAAGGAGAACTCGGACAACCTTTATGGTTTTTATAGGCCTCTGCGTCACTGAGCTGGTGTCTTGACAAACTCAGTCTTTGTCTCTGTGTGTCCCCATGATAAATCTGTAAGAAACCAGGACAAGTGAGCTCAAAGTCAGAAGGGAAGGCCACCAGCAGCGAATGCTGCCCTGAGGCCTTTCTGCAGGAAGAGGCAAGACTGAGTCTCGAGGAAACACGTTTGTGACACACTGTGCCTCTTCTCTATGCTGTGCGCCCATCGCCTTTGGCTGATGCTGCAGATAATTATGCATTAAAAAGCTCACTTAATGCTGTTAAAAAAGTTTTTGAGAACCCTCCTAAGTTATTAAAAAAAAATAAGTATGTTTCTTGTCCTAGGAGGTCAAATGCAGAGGTTTTGTAATCAAGGCATTATGAGTGTGAAAGGGAGGTCAACACCAAAGCTGATGCTGACTGTTCACCCAGTGTCCTCTCAGGATCAGGTGCACACATGGCGTTTTGTCACTCCACGTAAGCCTTGGTCATCAGCCCCTGGGGCAGTGATTTGCTAAGAGGACCCAGCTTCCCAGGTGCTTGTGCCTTGTGTGAACCAGACAGAGCGAGCTGCACAAGAGGGAGTGAGCGTGGGAACCTGTCACTCGGGTGTGCCCACGTGCGGTGCCAGCAGCAAAGCCATCTTACTTCTCGGCCTGCCACTCTGTCCATTCACCTCTGTCTCGGGGGCGCACGGACATCTTTTACCCCGTGATTAGCCACACAAGTGTCAAAGGCCAAAGAGACTGTACTTGTTTGGAAGAAGCCTGGCATCACCCGGACGGAGGGAATTGCCAGTGTAGAAACATCACGTAATTTTGAGAAAGGTTTAGAGGCCTGGAAGATCCTTGCAACCGGGACAGGCCTAGACGTTGCACCTCCCGTTAAACCGTAGTTGCTAAGCACAGCCTCGCGCTTCCTGTTGGCACTTGCTCCTGCGGATTCTCAATGCCGAATAACTGCCGAGATGGTTTTGTGGAAACACCTCCAAGAGGCCTGTGCTCCGTAGCCACTGCGGCTGGCTTGGTTAATTCCCAGGGACTTTCCTCCATCAGGATGTTCTCTGCTTCTTGCTAAGCATGCGATCCTACGGTCCGGTCTGAGATTTCAAGTCTTCAGTGTCAGGAGGAACAACACATCTGAGTTTTCAGAGGACTTGGAAAGAAAATGACAAAACTGTACTCATGTAGATGAAGGCACGTGAATAAGCTGATGCGAATCGGTGGCTCACCTGAGGTCATTTGAGTAGTGGCAAATAGCAGTGTCACTGGGGTCTCTTTTCACCAAAGCCAGTTTACATCATTATCAGGCAGCCCTGGGGGAGAAGTAGGATAAGTGTCCTTCATTCTAGTTGCCCGATGAAAAAACAGGCCCAGAAGGCTGAACTGGTGTCTATAAGGTCATAAAAGAAAGGCTATTAGCTGATCCCCAGCTAGAGTGTTTTTTTATTTGGCTCCTAGTTCTGTATATTCTGAAGAAAGAACGTGCAGTTAAAGGTGATTAAGTGTTTTTATAGAATAACGCGTCATGTCACGCAGATCGTGGTACTCACTGTATAGGGACATTTGCGCGTCTCCCTCCGCAGCCCAGGCTGCCACCGCCTCTCACCTCAGTCCCCTGCTGCTGTCATTCCACCTTCGCGGACGCTGGCCCATACAGCCGCTAGGGGCTCTGTTGGGATATAAATCAAATTGGGCCACGTCGCTGCTCCAGTCTCCCCTGCTTATTTGGTTCATGTAGAGGAAAAGCCACATCCTTAGGGTACTGTGTGCTAGATCTTTCTTTGACCAGTGCCCACCCCCCCACCTCTGACCATATTGACCGTTCTGTCCTCTTCCTCCCCTCCTGCTCATTACGTTCCATCCTCAGCCTCCTCGCCATTCCTCTGGTGCTCCAGGCCCTCATCCCACAACACTTGGCTTCCTCTCTGCCTGAAACTCCCTTCTCCCAGACAGCCACAGTGCTCGCTCCCTCGCTGCCCCCAGGTCGGTGCTCACATGTCAGCTTAACGGGACGCTTTCCTGACTGCCCACCCCTCCACATGCTAGCCCTCAACTTCATCACATACTTAGTCCCTCTAGCCTTCGTTTATGGTATATTTTTCTCAATTACTTACCACCACTTAAGAAATAAATGTATCTCCTGTTTCCCCTCTTATACCCTCATGATACTTGGTTTTGCTGACTACCCTACAGCACTTAGAACAGTGCCTGGCACCTGACAGATGCTCAGTGAGATGTTGAAAGACTCAGTTTGTGTACACCTAATATTGCCAGTGTATTATTGACTTCTTACCATTTGTGAACACAGATGGAGCATGTGAAAAAGAGCTGAGAATCCAAGCTGACAATTAGCTGTCATGTAGAAACAAACGGACACCTGAGCCGAAGCCCTGGCTCTTTCCACCACTTGATAACCTGTGTGTTTAAAAACTGAAATTGGGGCGCCTGGGTGGCTCAGTTGGTTAAGCGTCCAACTCTTGGTTTCATCTCAGGTCGTGATCCCACCGTCTGTGGGTCCCAGCCCTGTGTCGGGCTCTGCGCTGACAGTGCAGAGCCTGCTTGGGATTCTCTCTCCCTCTCTCCCTCTCTGCCCCTTCTCTACTCTCTCTCAAAATAAACATACTTAAAAAAAAAAAAAACTTTTTTCAAAACTGAAATAGCATCCTCCTATACAAGGTTTTATTTAGGCAAATATGAAATTATGCCTGTGAAATTGCTGGGATGCTCTCCATGATACCTAAAAATAATATGTCCACGTATCAAGGACTGTTCTGAATGACAACTGTGATTTCCTTGCTCCTGGCCTGTTTATGGTTGGTTTAAAGTGATGAGTTTCAGGGGGGCTGAATTTAAAAATGTTTCCAGTTTAGGCTTGTGATTTCCCAGTTCTGTTGGATGACGTTTTACTGTCAACGTGTGTGTAAGAAAGAATGTCAAGATTTAACATAAAATTGCCAAGAATAAGTGTGAAAGAGCTTAACTAAGCCTTAAGTTCATGTATTAATCATGCTTTGTGATTTCCTTTTTATCCCTTCAGTGTTGCCCAGAATATCAGAGCATTGGAAGCAACCATTTTTGGGGATCCTACACCTACTGTGGTGGTGGATTAAAAAGGAGGACGCAGTATGCGCCCAAGAAGTAACGGTTTCTCTGCCGATCACAAAGTGAAATGAAGGATGGCCCCTAAGGATTTTATCATGTGAAGTCTCTCTGGATTTCTCTTTTCAGAAATGCAGATAAAGAAGATGAAGGATATCGGACAGCAGTTATATACCACACAAGTGAACGACGCACAGAATTCCTTGACCATGTCACCCAAACAGCCTAATGCTAATAGAGCGACTCGACCAGACAGACAAGAAGCGCAGGCTCTGTTATGTCAAGGCTCAGAGGCGGAGGCTGCCGTGATGACGGTTGCTACGTGTGTAAAGTGCAAAAGTGTCCACAGAATCCCACTTCGAGATCCGAAGAAGGGTACTGGGCAAAGCCAAAAGGACGACAAGTATGTTTGCTTCACATGCAACCTTGGCATGGCTTCTTCCCATTTTCATTTTGTGAACAGTAATCCCAGTGCAGCTCATGTAGGAAATAAAGCTGAGACCATCTCAGGTTCCGTCAGTAACAAATTTAAGGTAAGGAACTTTAAGCCCGGCAAATACTATTGTGATAAATGTCGATTTTCCACAAAGGACCCTCTGCAGTACAAAAAGCACACGCTTCAACATGAAGAGATTAAATTCATCTGTTCTCACTGCAGCTACATTTCCTACACAAAAGGGGAGTTTCAGAGGCACTTGGTGAAACACACGGGCATATTCCCTTACCAGTGTGAGTACTGCGACTATGGCGCTATCAGAAACGACTACATCGTCAAACACAGGAGGAGAGTGCACGAGAGGGCCGGTGGAAAGCGGCCGCCCAAAACCGTAGCCAAGCTGGAGCCGAAAAGAGCCGGCGCATCCAAACAAAACGCAGAGCTTTTAAAAGCTCCCAGTCCGAGGACTGCGTTTCAAAATCGGTTGTCGGATCAACTCTCAAGGTTCTCCCTCCATACAAATAAGGACAAAATGCACAATATCATGTTGCTGCCTGAATCCAAGGAACACCAGAAAGATGTAGTGTGTGTTCCGAATAAAGTGACCTTGTCGGAGCCAAACGAGGTCAGTCTGTTTGAGAACAAAAGCGTGGAGGTGGAAGTGCTGTCCCCTGCAAAAGAGCCCGTGCAGCCGGGAATGCCCTTAACAGTCGTGGCTCCGGCGGAATTAGTTGTCCCTGCAAACTGTCTAGCCCAGTTGATGGATGTGAAGGTTGTCAATGGAACCCAGCAGCTCGTCCTGAAACTGTTTCCTCTGGAAGAAGGTAACCGCCCTGAAGCCAGCGGGGCTGAGGGAGGGAGTTCTGAGCGTGTGACTAGCGAAAAGGGTTCAACCGAACGGGAAAAAATGGCTTCTGCAGGACATACAAAGCCACCGCCAATTGAAGGGAATGTCGGAAAACTCGCAGGCTTTGATAATCTCCATTCTGCGGTTCAGAAACAACTTAAAAATATGAAGTGGGTGAGGTCTTACGACTTTTTCCTGTCAGATTCTCGTGTGCACAACCGTGGGGAATCCCTCCTCAACCCAGATACAGTGGAGGATTTCCAGAAAAAAAGTAGCATGTATCCACATAGACCGGCCCTTCCGTCTCTCTCCTTCAAAGGTCATTCTCCATCAGCTATAGTAAAACACAGTGTTTTACATGGTCTCAGAACCGCATCAAGCCCGTTTCCACATAAAGCTGCTGTTTCTTTTACTGAGGATAGAAGACATTTACACGGCGACTCACACTCGTTCTTCCCTCTTGCTGCACCACCTGCAGCTGTGCCCTCTGGAGACCAGGGCTTGTTGCCTGTGAGCACAAATCACTTGGAATCTAGAAATGAGATTAGTGTTCCTGCAAAAATGGCTCCCTCCCACAGGAAGCTGAAGGACAAGCAGACAGAGGAACACAAGGCAGGTTCAAATACAGGCCAGATTGCCTCTCAACGCAAAAGGGAGTATTTACACCTAAGTATACCTGGAGAAGATAGCATCAGGGCTCTGCCGCCTGGGGAGGAACCCCTGGAACTAAAGAATCCAGAAAGGACTAAAGACTCTTTCGATGGCCCGGTCATCTCGTCAGTATTTTCTCTGAGCTCTGGGTCCGAAAATGTCCCTGAAGGTGTTAAATGGAATAGTTCCACGTCCAAAATAAAGTCAATTGAACTCTTGCGCAGAAAGATAGCTCAGTTAATTGAATCCTGTGGCAAGCCTTCATCTTTGTCTGCAAATAATGCACATCGCCGTTCTGTAGGGCAGGCCTCGAAGGGAACCTCGAAAGCTGCTCCTGAAGGTATTCACGAAATTAACGTGTCGTTTACTGGCACCGGCTATTCCACAGGCACGCTCCCCAAACCTCAGGATGACGGCGCTATTAATGGACAGCTTACTCATCAGCAAATGTATCCACAGTTTATGGAAGACAGCAATGGGAAAACTGAAAGCAGAGTGACCAGGAAGGCCCATGTTGCTACTCCAGTATTGATCCCCAAAGGGGCTGTGTTGAGGGTTCTTAATTCTTCTGAGGATGCCCACATTATAGAGGCTACATGTGAAGCACCCGTCAGTATACCTTGCAGTGAGACACAGTTAATAAAACCCATTCCGCTCTGCCCGGTGAGACAGACAGACTCAGACTTACAGTCTTTGACAAGTAAAAGTGGGCCAGTAGATGTGTCCCAAAATCTTGATATACCTCTTCGGCCAAAACCAAGGAAAGAGAGTGCTACTTGTAGCACCATGCCTAAAAAAACTGGCCCCCTACACAGTCACCAAGGAAGCAGTGAACCAAGTAAGCAAGGGAAACTGCTCCCCAGAAGTCTTCCTATAAGTAAAAATAAAACCAAACAAGTGAACTCATCCAAGAAGAAAACCAAAATCCAGGCTGACCCCAGCCGCTATCTCAAGGATCCTTCAATTTTTCAGGTCACAAGACAACTTCGACTGATAGCAGCTAAACCAGACCAGTTGATTAAATGCCCCCGTCGGAACCAGCCTGTCATTGTGTTAAACCATCCTGACGTTGACTCACCAGAAGTGACCAATGTGATGAAGGTAATAAACAAGTACAAAGGCAACGTCCTCAAAGTCGTCTTATCAGAGAGGACTAGGTGTCAGCTAGGCATCAGACGGCATCACGTCCGCCTGACCTACCAGAATGTGGAGGAAGCCAATCAAATAAAAAGGCAAATGATGTTGAAAATGAAACTTAAAAAAGTTCATAAAAACAACTACCAGGTGGTGGATTCCTTGCCTGATGACTCATCCCAGTGTATATTTAAGTGCTGGTTTTGTGGGCGGCTGTATGAAGACCAGGAAGAGTGGATGAGTCATGGCCAACGGCATTTGATAGAAGCTACTAGAGATTGGGATGTTCTTTCCTCCAAAGGCAAATAAGTAAAAAGTGGTCTTTGAAGCAAATTGTTTTTCTTACTTTTAGTTTATTCTAGTTTGTTGTTTTTTTTTTCTCCTCCCTGACTCAGTAGGAGAAATAGAGATTGTAGGGATGAGAAAGTCATCAATTCTTCAGAACTCTTGTAGGAATGTTGAGAGCCAGGAGTCTTAACCCGAGATAAGTGACTGGAACTTGGAATGTGTTTGAGGCCCCTAAAATTACGCACAAATCCACGTACAGGCGTTTTCCTGGAGAGAAGTGAAACTTGCAGATTTCCACTGGGATCTGAGACTGCTTTGTGTAGCACCCCTTTTACTGAGTAGATACAAATTTGTTGTAATCTATTCAAAAGGGTGAGTTTAGAGTGTTTTACACATGCTACTGAGGGATTAAGCCCAGATGGTGGTGTGCACAGCCATCCCGTCATTAAGTCATGTGCTATTTGGTGCATAATGGAAATTAAACTTTCTACTTTGTTACCTTAAATTCGGTTATAGAAAAATGGCTATTCTTTTAAATTCCTCACCCCCTCTGTAGTACTTGTGTCGTTTACAGCACAGAGCACTGTGCTGCTGTTGGCCATTTTAAAGGATGATTCCAAGGTTTGCCTGAATCTACTACAGTAGACGTTAGGGGAGGAAGGAAACATTTCCAAACCTTTGCTTTCTTTTTCTTTTTAAACATCCTGGTTTGCGACAGTTGAGGAGGGAATGTGCCTTTTTCAAAAAAAAAAAAAAAAAAAAAAAAAAAAAAGTCACAGAAAAGATCTAGAACGAAGGCTGCTGTTTGCCCTTAACCACCCTCACAAACATAAGCCGATTTAAAATGTGAATGAACAGGCGTCTTGTGACATAGGTGACACTGGGGAAGACCATGCAAGGTAGGGTGATGCAGGTAGTTATGACTTTAACGTGACTATCAGTTTTCGTCTGAGAACTCACGGGCGAAACCACGGGCGAAGCCTGCACACACTTCCTCCACAGACACTGCCCCCCTCCCCAGCTCATATCCTGCTCTCCCTTTGCCAACTTCCTGAACAGACCCTCCTACGGAGTAGGATGCTTCCCTGCTCACCTCCTGTCCCCTTCCTTTTGTGCCTTTGAGTCCCCTTAAGGCTTTCCCTCGTGAAAATGCTAAAAACAAGCAAGAATCAGCAAAAGGGAAGCATCTCACCATCTTTGTTGAGGTTATAGGAAAAGTATGCCTGGTTTTCAACGGTCATGGCGACGTTGTCCCTCTCACCCACCTTTCCGAGGTAGTAATTCTCAAGAACATCTACCGCTGTCTCCACCGACAAAGGCCAGGACCACGGCTGGTCCACACAGCACCTCCGTGTGCGTTAGGAAGAGTTCCTCCCAGATAGATGGCCTGGCAGATGGAGCTCGGACTGGATTTATTCCTCACTTGCCCGCTCAGGCACCAACCATCACACAGAACCCTAAAGGGACGACCACAAGGCAGCCCCACCTCCGTGTTTTTCTTCCTTTTAAGCCTGCTCTTTCCTTAGGGAATTGGTTAGTGCAGTAAATGAAATGGGGGGCCGTTTTGTCTGCAAAAGACTTGAGTGAGATTTCCATTGTGTTGGTTAGTCGGAATTTTACGATTTTTTTTTTTACATGTGTGAAAGATTATCTTCTGATAGATGTGGGATGGTAATTCTTTGTAGTTCTCAAGTGAAATGTAGATCAACATTTCTTATGTATAATTGAATACATAATCATTAAGTTGACTAATTGGTTTTTATTGAAATTTAAAACTTGGGTTTTTTTTGTATGTGTATATATGCTTGTGTGTACACATATAAATATTTTTTACCATATAAAAACTGCAGTAGCTGATTTTCTGTTTTCCTATTTTATAACAAAATTATGTGGGCTGGAGAAATAGAAGACGTTTTATATTCTAGAAATTATTTTGGAAGCACATTTTTATAATGGTGTGGTCTCATTTTTAGCAAATGAAAGCACAAGTGATGAGTCTGATTTATATGAACAAATAGGAGTAGAAACCGCTGAGGATCATTTCATGACAGTATTTCCTCCCCCATGCATTTCCAGTTGGTGCTTTCTGGGAAATGGACCCTGTGTACCGCTCACTTTTCCACCCAGAGGAGAGGATTCTGCAGTGTCAGCCATGTGTAGATGCGTACCTGCCAGGAGCTAGAAGGCTCCTAAGATGTTGAGAGAAGAAAAGGCTGTGATTTTTTTTTTTTTTTCCTCCTTCTATACCTCACTGCTTAGTAGCATCTTTCTTGAGAGGCTAGACCGTGACCTTTCAGGAAAGATGACCATGAATCAGGTCAGAGTGTTAAGTGTCAACATGAAATATTTATACTTCGCAGCACCAACTGTTTTTCAAGTATTACCTAAAACTCAGCTTATGTACTCGTATGGAGCTAAATTTTATGAGTAGACTGTGTAGCTAAGCTTTTGGGGGGATTTCTGGAACTACAGTACTTTTTAAGGAATTGAGAGGGCTCCTGAAAGTCATAAAAAATGAGAAAGCAAAACATGTCTGTCCTCCCGATATAAAGAACTTTATTTAGCAGATAGCTTGTTAACATGTAGGCAAATGTCATGAAATAAATACTTCTAACAAAATTGGACAAGGTAGGGGTAGAACTGTGCTGAGTATTTATGGACTCCTACCTTGATTTTGAAGGACCTGTACTCATGAAATTTTGTTAATAGTGTTTACCAATAAAATCATTTTAAACACTTCTTAAGGTAGCGTTTCTTAACTTTTGGGGGTCAGAAATGAGATGATCTTATTATAGTTATGATATGACAAAGTGAAAATTTCTCAAAAATGACCTCACAGTCTCGTAGATCATATTTTACCCCAATTTTTATCCCCAGCCCCAAACATTTTGTGACCCTACTATGGGCCAAGTGCTATTTGTTAAACTAAGCTGAACACAGTATATTAACCCTAAAAAGCTCCATCACGTTTCTTTACGACCTACTAAATAAACCATCCCAGAAAATGAGGATGTGATGTGGCTCGGCCTTTGGAATCGTTTTTGAATGTGTAAATGTCAGTATGAGCAGAAAACAAAATATTGCATAACACGTTTTAAGCATTATTGTAAGTCCCGCGTTAACAGTTCTGTGTCTGCTGCTCTAGTTTTGAAACACATTTGTATATAGATAGAGACGTTGGCGTCATTTTTGTTAAATAAAACAACTGTAAAACGTTCTCTGCCCTTTCATTTCACTGTTCGGGGGGGAGGGCCGTGTATTACATCACCTCGTGTGACCTGTTTCTGAAACACGGAAAGGCATCATCCTATACGGCTCAGGTGCCTTGAGTCCCACCGGGGTGTGTTCCGAATTAGATAACACCACTGGTTCACCCGGCACACCCTGAGATGAACACCCCAGGCTGCTTTTTTGGTTTGCCCTGCCCTAAATTCATGCTGCTTTGGGCAGCAGTAACAGTTTTCATCCCGTGGTCCGTGGCCTCTTCGGAGGTGGTCTGTGGCCACCAAACCTGCCCTGTGTGTCTGGCCTCTGCTGGGAGGGGTTGGGGCGGGGGGAGCTCCCCAGCATTTGATGAGCCTGCTGGACCACGTGGGCACGGCACTGTTGACACCATCCATAAACACCCTTGCGTCTGATTGCACGTGTACCTGGGCGGAGAAGGGATGAGGCTATTTGGAGGGGAACTTGATTCCCGCATCTCATTCCACGGAGTCAACGAGGGAAAAGAAATGGGACCTGAGACCGTAAAGAGACGTGAGTTGCTTCAATTCAAGAATTTGCCGATTTCACCTGTTAGCGGAGATGAGTCGTCATCCTCCCATCCTACAGATCTGGTCTAATAAGTGGTCACCTTTGGTTAGGGGGAAGTGAAAATCAAATAAGGCAATGGAAACCTCTGGGGGGATTTGTATTGGGTGTGGACTGCCAGGGGTGGCTGCGGTGTGACCGGAGTAGGGGGCTGGGCGGGAGATGACATCAAGGCCAGAGAGTTAGGGAGTGGCAGTCACCAAGCCACGTTTTATTGGGAAGAGAACTTCAGCTCAAGAAAGATGAATGTGTACGTGAAGGTGAGGGAAGTAACGTGCAAGATGGTGGTGTGGCAGGAAGCACCCTGGCGTCTATCAAGCTCTTTTGCTTTGCGCATGTAGAGCTCTTTGCTGCCACAGGTTACATCCAGTATGAATTGACTTCTTAAGGCTCTAGCACGTATCAGACACGTCGGTTGCATTGAACTACCGTTCTGAGGAATGTGGTCTTAGTCTAGAGCAGTGCTGTCCAACAGGAACATAATGTGAGCCAAAACGTAATCTGAACTTTCTAGTAGCCACATTTGGGAGAGAAAAAAGAACGGGTGAAGTTAAATGTTTTATTTCACCCGATACACCTAAAATACTGAAACATTTTTGGGGCTCCTGGGTGGCTCAGTCGGTGAGGCATCCTACTTCAGCTCGGGTCACGATCTCTCATGGCTCAGGAGTTCGAGCCCCACATCGGGCTCTGTGCTGACAGCTCAGAGCCTGGAGCCTGCTTCCGATTCCGCGTCTCCCTCTCCCTGCCCCTCCCCTGCTTGTTCTCTGTCTCTGTCTCTCAAAAATAAATAAATGTTAAAAAACTTTTTTTTAATACGGAAACATTTTCAATAAAATTTATTGAGATATTTTGTGTGTATAAACACACGCACGCATATACGAAGCGTGTGTTTATATACATCTTTTGAAAACAAAGTCTTTAGAAACCTGGTACATATTTTAAACTTACAGAAGGTTTGAATGTTAATGCTACCTTTTCATTCATAAGGGGATGTAGTCTTACCAAAACACTGAAGCTGTGTTTAGTGACAAGATTTTAACTGTTTCAGTGTTTCCATTTAAATTAGAAATCCAGGGGCGCCTGGGTGGTGCAGTCGGTTGAGCGTCCGACTTCAGCCAGGTCACGATCTCGCGGTCCGGGAGTTCGAGCCCCGCGTCGGGCTCTGGGCTGATGGCTCAGAGCCTGGAGCCTGTTTCCGATTCTGTGTC